TTAATTAAGACCTATCTCAAAGAACATGTCAGGTATGGTAGATTAAGCTCCCAGGTAGACAGGAAAAAGAGGTAGGAGGCTCCAGGCTAGCCAAGGCAGAAATGTTAGAATTATTGTTAAATAAGCAAAGCGTGAAGGGCTAGAGGGATTACGGAAGTGATAGAGCACTTGCCTACCAAACTTGAAACCAGGACTTCACACCCAGACCTACATCTTCCCCTGAAAAAAAATCAATAACTTTAAAAAAGAAGTGGCAAGCAAACTGGAAGGTAAATTGAACATTTTATGTCCAAATCCATAAATAGCCAATATCACTCAGAGTAATGTCAGGAATTAAGGAAAGAAGTTGACAAGGACAACTGAGAAAAATAATTACATGCTCTTAAAAAAAATAAGTAGGAGAATCAGGTAACTTAGGAAAGGGGGACAAGGATGTAAGTCTGTGGTTATGCAAACTCTTGCTCTCCTCAGAAAGGGGATTTGTGGAAGTCAAAGTCTGAGCCTCTAACATAAATTGATGCAGGTTAAAGTGAAGGGATTTAAAAGCTTCCTTTCCTAATCTTGAACATCATAACCAAGACTGAGAGGGTGAGTTTGGAATGGGGGCAGGACAAGTAATACCAAGACATATAGGAACCCCAATACAAAACGCAGAGAAAGCTACCAATAAATGATTAAACATTACAGTTATATTTGTGGTGCCTATTTTATCTGAATAAAATGTATGTGGATGCTTTTAATTGTTTCATGTGGCTTACAGTAACACCTGTCAAATATTCAAATACATAAAGTATTTTATACAGTTTATGTCCTCATCTTTTAATAGGATGTAAATTTGTAAAGCTTAATTTTGCTTCTCAAATAATGTCCTATGTCTAGCCAAAGGTTAAGTGATCCATGGAATGAGTATTATGATGAGCCATTAACACCCATTATTGCCTCTGAAATACCGTAATCTTTCAAATAACTACCACCAACATCTTTCTCTGGGTAAACCAGGGTAACTCTCTCCTAGTCCATTAACTCAGGTTAATCTTCATCCATGGATTCCTACTTGTAACAGCTCCAGCTCCTTCATCTGTGCCACTGACAGCACTCTCAGGGCTATTCATCACTTCCCATCTACACTGTTCCTGTTGCTGCTGCTTCTTCCTCCTCCTCCTCTTCCCCCTCCTCCTCTTCTTTTTGCCAGTCCTGAGGCTTGAACTCAGGACCTGGACACTTTCCCTGAGCTTCTTTTCATTCAAGGCTAGCACTCTACCACTTGAGCCACAGCGCCACTTCCAGCCTTTTCTGTTCATGTGATACTGAGGAATCAAACTGGGGCTTTCATGCATGGTAGGCAAGTACTCTACCACTAAGCCACATCTCTGTTGCTTCTTAATCAGACTCCAGCCCAATAGAAGTCCTTCTGACTTCTAACCAATCCAATTCATGATCTCAATACTGTCTTAATTACCTATGTGATTTAACAGCTCAGATTATGAATCACTCTCCATGACCCTCCATGACAAAATGACATTTAGCCTTCTTAAACTTTCTCAGTCTATGAGCAACAGCATTCCAATTACTTCTCTAAACTTAAGGTAGTAATTCACTGTTATTCCACGTAACTCTTCCCAATGTCTATTTTTCTGCTTGTCTTGTCACTTTATCTGGGAGAACAATCAGACCTCTGGTTTTGATGAATTCATCTCATGTGGAACTCACATCCAATACAACAACTCTGCTCCCACAACAAGGTTTCCAGCTCAAAGAAAAAAAAATATCCACATGCAGACGTTTCTCACTCAAATTCCAGAAACCAGCACATCAATACCAATTCCATATCAACAGAGTAATTAAGTCTCAGAGTATTCCTATTCATAAATCATTAGTTTTCCACCCAAGATGTGATCTTGAAGAGAGGAAAATCAGTACAGTTTCAAGATGCCCCATGCATACTAGATTACTTCGCAAATTAAACAATTATGTCAAATGATAAAAACAAAAATCATTAGCTTTTAGATCACTGTATCTTATATTTTTATTACATAGGAGAACTTAGGATGCTAATTTAAATGTCTACTAAATATACGTTTAATCTTTAAACCTTAGATCCAAGGCCAAAGATCTGCGTGGTCTCAGAGTAGGGGGAAAAAAAATTAAAGCCATCTAGACAACGCGTATATACTTGGCACATGTAGTTTTTTAAGAAATTCTGCTAGTGGTTAAATTGAAACTAAATAAAACATGTAGAAAAGTACATAGAATTATTGATTATAAAGAAAATCCAATGTAGTGAAATCTAATATATATATAAATAAGGATCTTGGTATTAATACTCTCAGTCTAGCTACTTATAAGAATAAAAAGTTCCATATTTATACTTCATTTGAAGTAATTCTTTCATTTAATTTTTTGGTCACAACCAGGTTTTCACTGAAGATCAAACTCTTCAACTCTAACTTTCCAGAGGAGTCTCTACCAAAACTCATTTTGCAAATTATTGGATCACTCTATGATTTCTGCTCCAATTTTATCTGATTGGCTCTAAGGCCACAAGAAGCATTGGATGGCTAATCGTGCTTTATAGCATATGAGCTATTTCACAATTTTTAAGGAGTAAAAATATGACCCTTAAAAAAGATCAGCCATTGGTTCCTCCCAGTTCTCCATTACTACATTTAAATGAAGTGCTTGTATAGACCACTAGGGAGAGACAAAGTGATTTTATTGAGGACTATTAAAGTTCTACTCACTGAAGAAGTTTACTCTGACAATAGTACACTCTTTTGTAGTCTATGGAACTCAGAAATGTAAGTAATGTTTCAAGATATGGAGGGGGACTAGGATCATCTACAGAGCATCAACCCATAATCAATTATAGCATATAGTAGACAGTTAAATTTCGAAAACCACATTTGCAAAATTGGCATGGCAAAGATAAAACTTGATTGCATCAGTAATGAAGACAATTGTTAAACTTTTTTTGGTCCAATCTCATACATACCCCCCCCCAAACACACACACTTCAGAGGTACATCCCTTCAGGAATTACCTAGGAGTGGATCCATGATAGACTTATCAGGAAATTCTTTTTACTTAATATCCACATTGATTATTATTGTTGATTTTATTTTTATTATTTTATTGAATTTTATTATTGATTTTATTTTATTATTTTATTTACTGGTTATTATTGACTTACTTAATATCCACATTGATTATTGGTAAGTGCCAAGTAAGTTACCACCAGGCAATGGAGCAGTGTTGCCTTACTAAGTCATACTCAGGTCATACTAGCTTGTCTTACTAAGTCATGCTAGCTTGACTGCAGAAACAAAAAGTGAATGAGTGAGTATAGCATAAGGACTCAAATTACAGCAAGTATTATTGGGCCCAACACTATACTGCTATGCTATTTAAGGACATAAGGAGATCCTCATCACTACAGTTATACCCACATATCTGTCTTTAAAAAGTTACAATTCTCCGGGCTGGGAAGGTGGCTCAGTGGTAGAGCCCTTGCCTTGCCTGCAGGAGGCCCTGGGTTCGATTCCTCAGCACCACATAAACAGAAAAAAAAGCCAGAAGTGGCGCTATGGATCGAGTGGTAGAGCGCTAGCCTTGAGCTGAAGAGCTGAGGGACAGCGCCCAGGCCCAGAGTTCAGGCCCCACGACCGGACCCCCCCCCCCAAAAAAAAGTTACAATTCTCATAACGCACTAAATTTTGCAATTTGTTGTTTTTACTCAAAAGGCTTCTTTTCTTCCCTCTCAACTCCCTATATTGAGCTATACATCCCTATATTTTAAATTTTCCCTAAATTTAAGTTAAAGGTTTAAAGTGCATCCCTCAAATGAAACTAGGAGGGCCATTGACTTCTACACATTCGGTATATGTTCATCAGTAAAGTCAACGGAAAGCCAAGTGTCACGCACAAGCACACACACACACACACACACACACACACACACACACACTTTGGCACTTTGCCACTTTTTCCACCAGTTAAATAAATCCCTGCAGTCTGGTTCCAGCCAGGGGTACTGCAAGTATCTAAACTCAGAGACTTCGCCATGTGTTAATATAAAACTTCAGGAGTTTGGAAATCAACTATGCATTGCTAAGTCAGATAGGAACTTTGGAAGTAAATACATACTCTCTGCTGAGAAGCAACACAGATAGGACAGAGAACTCCTTTTGAAAATCCAAAAGTCTTCAAAAGCATCTTAACACCATGTTTTTATGCAAAATAATTACACACCTCAGATTTGAAAACCAACAGCAATCCAAATTGGAAGAAGTATGCCTGAGGGCTTTTTTGCTTTCATTGTTACTATTCTTTTTACCAGAGTTTACAAATGCTGAGTTCACAACGTGGAAAAATAAAAGCCCCGGGTTGATGGTGAGTTAAATGACTGTAATTCTCCAGTTAGAGCTTATGCGTGACCAACCAGAAAGCCCTCAAACCCAGTGACGAGATTCCCTAAGCGTTGGATCAAACAGCACCCAGCTCCAGGTGCTCACACAGCCTGAACACCCCAGGAAAGAGTCTCTGTTGACTCAACCAACATCCCTGTGGTCCCAGAAACCTTTTGAGACCCCAGCCAAAAAGAAAAGAAAAAGAAAAGAAAGAAACGCGAGCATTTGTTTTCTGGATCAGCACGGAGAGGTCTCCAGAGCCGGCTTCAGGGCGCCCTTGACCCCCCAACCCCACCCCAGGCCACTCTGAAAGCCATCGCGGGATCTCAGCCACCAGACACAGTGTCACTCGCTTCGCTCCCGTGTCACTTCTCATCCGTGTAACTGGCCATCTAGTCACAACTTCCCACTAACAGAAAAGAAGAAACCGCTTTTCTGCCCTGCCTCTGAATCCAGGGCGCACGGGGAATCCAAACCCTCCCCTCGCTCCGCGCCGGTGCCCAGGCACCCCGCACACCACAGTCGCTCGTGCGGCGTGGGCCTGGCCGGGGAGGGGGGGGGGTGACCCGATCCGCAGGGGGTGCCAGCACCTACCTTGACCTCGCCTGCGTCGGGCTCCGCGTCGGAATAGCCAAGTCCCGACTCCCAGGCGGCGGCGGCGGCGGGCGCCTGGCGCGGACCGGGCAGCAGCGCAGCAGCGAGCAGCGAACACGCCAGGGACAAGAAGCCCAGCAAGTGCATGGTGGACGCCGGGCCCGGGGAATGAGTGGGGCGGCCGGTGGGCTGGCGGGGGCAGGGCGGGGGGGCGTGGCCGACCCGGCGAGGTTGGAGGTTCCCTTCCCCACCCCCCCGGGGGTCTCCTCCCGGGGGCGCCCCCTCGCCCCCCTGGGCGAGCCGGAGGCGGCGGGAGCGCGGAGACGGCTTCCCGACTTTGGCAAAGCTCCGTCTTCGTGGCCGTCGGGACCCGGGAGGGGAGGCGCGAGCGGGCGTCAGGTAGCGAGCCTCGCGGGAAGCCGGCCGGCCCCGCTCCCCGACGAGTCCCCGCAGCCCGAGTCCCCCTCCGCCCTCCCCTTCCGCGAAGTGAAAGGAGCCGGGCCAGCGGCAGCGGTGGCGGCGTGGCCGGGGACGGGAGGAGGGCGGCGGGGCGCGGGGCGCCGGCGGGGCCCGGAGCTCCCGCGCGGGGCTGGAGCCTCCGGAGCGCGCGGGGCGGCGCGGCGGCGGCGGCGGGGCCCGGGAGCTGGGCGCGGGGCGGCGCGGCGGCGGCGGCGGGCGCCGGGGCAGGGCATGACTGACGCGCCCTCTGCCTGCGCTTATGTGAGAGAAAGCGGCCGAGGGAGGGCGCGTGCCGAGCCCCGGCCGCCCTCCCCGCGCACTTTCCCTCGGAAGCTCTCCCTGCAGCGCCCACTTCCCTCGCCGCCTCCCCTGCAGCCCCTCCCTCCCTCCCTCCCTCCTTCCCTTTCCCCCCTCCGGGGAATGGTGGTGGGGGCGGCCGGGGCGGGGAGGGAGGGGGGTAGAAGGGGAGGGTGAGGAGGTTGGGGGTAGCCGGAGGGGTGCAAGTTCACTTTCAGGGCTGGCGATCCATCAGTTACCAGGCTTGGCCAAGTTGGGAAAGAGTTGGTATGGTTGGGTTAAGGAGAAAGAGAGAGGGAGAAGGAGAGGGGGGGGAGGGAGGGGGAGGGGGAGAGGGAGGGGGGGAGAGGGCTCTCTCTTTTGTCTTTGGCCACCCCGGGCTCTCTAGGCATGCCACGCCTTCTGCGCCCTGAACATTTTAGAAACTGCCTTGAGCTCTAAAAGTTTCAAGAGAAAGTCATCAAGTCATAGAATAAGTCTGTCTGTCTGTCTCTCTCTCCCCCCTCCCCTCCTCCCCTCTCCCCGCCCATCCCCTCCCCCATCTCTTTTCTTCCTCCCTCTGGGTAACTTGAAGTTGCTGGATGAAGCCAGAGCTACAAGCCTTGTGGGAATAAAATGCTGCCTGTTGGGACAGATGCGAATGACCCTTTTGGAATCTTCAGCTTCCTGCAGATGAAGAGCAGCGCTAGAATGCTCCTGGAGAGAAAAGAAAACAGAGGGTCAAGTTTCTGCAAGAAGTTGAGTTTACAAGAGAAAGAAGATCATAAACAGGGACAATGACATGTGTTAAGCATATTCCAGGAAGGAGATGACTTTGGCAGAAAAATAGCTTTGTTTCCCAGCTGGAAAAATTGTGCTGTGGCACTGGTGGCATCCTTGGAGTAAAGAGAACAGGGAAAGTCTCACTTTTACCCCCCAAACCACTTTACGTACACTGACATAAGGGGCTTATGAAATTAGAACATGGAAAGTCCCATACGTTTATAAAACTTTAGGTTGAGAAGAGATTTTTTTTATCCGACTCAGATCTTTACAAAATTCAGAGCTCTTCTTACCTGTATTTGCTTTTGAAGACTAATATGCAGCTTAAAGGCTGTCCAGTCTATTGACTGTCAGCTTGGCTGAAAAGTATTTCCTTCCACCTCTCCCACTGCTTCTGACTTCTACAGTTTGTAGGCTTCATCTAATCTTACTTCCACATATGAGTTCCTCAAATGCCCTGAAAACTCTGTCACGTTTTCGCTGTGTTAGCTTTCTTCCCCCCAAAATATGTTTTTCTCTCCACATGAGGACAGACCAGTTTCCCCTCATCAGTCATAGTGTATGTTTATATTCATAAAGTACACTGCTAAGACCAGGGCTCAGTGCTTAATGTGCTCCACCGAAGCATGCAGGGAATGATCATCCTTGTACAGACAGCACACAATTGTTGATGTAGTCTTGGATCAAGTTTATTTTCTGGCAGCCAAATCAATGTTGACTCAAACCAATTTTAGGTCAACTAAATTCCACTAGATTTTTTTTTTTTTGGCCAGTCCTGGGGCTTGAACTCAGGGCCTGGGTGCTGTCCCTGAGTCTCTCTGTGCTCAACGCTAGTGTGCTATTACTTGAGCCACAGCTCTACTTCTAGCTTATTCTGAGCAGTTTATTGAAGATAAGAGTCTCATGAACTTTCTTGCCCAGGCTGGCTTCAAACTGCGATCCTCAGATCTCAGCCTCCTGAGTAGCTAGGATTACAGGGATGATCAACAGGTGCCCAGCTCCAGCATAATTTTTTCATGTGTGCTGTTATTCACTCACATCAGTATTATTCTGCATTTGTGGGATTGGCTCACTGTGTCTAAGTTTGAGATTTGTATTTGTCTTTTGGAAATCCTCTCCTCTCAGTCTGTCACAGCTTGTTGGGATTATTCTGTTTCTTCACATGCTCCGCATAGAGTTCCTCTCTCTGTCTTCCTGTCATATGCAAATTTATCAATTTGCCACATTTATTGTCTTCACACCTTGGTAAAACTTTGGAAAGGCAACAGCCAAGGGCAATGGGATAAGATTTATACAGAAGTTGGAGTTCCCTTGTGACTGCCACAAAACAGATTCTCAGCTTTGAACACTCGATGCACCATTAGAATTCTGGTCCTTCAAAGTGTGAACCAATGCAACAGCAATACTCACAAGACACTGTGTTGGAAATGAACTTTACAACTTGTGGTGGGGTGGGGGTATTGTGAAAGTGGGAGAAAAACAAAGCAGGGTAACAATGTTTGGCAAGAAATGTATTCATTACCTTCCATATGTATTTGTAACCCCTCTGTACATCAGGTGATGTAATGGAATTTTTTCTATGCGTCCATCAGAAAGAATGGCACTGCCCCATTTGTAAGGAAATGGAAAGACTTGGAAAAATCATATTAAGTGAAACATAGGTCCCATGGTTTCCCTTATTTGCAATAAATTGTCTATGTATAGGATAACCTTAGCAAATTAGCAAAACAGCTCAATAGCTACATACATTTGACCATATAAGATGATGCTAAGCGAAAAGGGCTCCAAGACATGGACACAGAGGTTTTTCTTTGTTGTTGTTTTTAATGTACTATGTGATTTCTTGTTTCTTTTGTATATTCTTCTCCCTATGGTATAGTCCCTGTTGTCACTGTATTTGATTTTGGTACGCTGGTAGTGTATATACGTTTATCTGAATTAGGAAGGGAAGGGGAACAACAGGATGGTGAGACAGAAGAGAAAGCAGCCAATGCAACAGCGATATTCACAAGACAATATGTTGGAAATGATCTGTACAATTTGGGGGGAGAAAAACGAGGGAAAGGGTAACAAGTTTGACCAAAAATGTACTTATCACCTTACTTATGTAACTGTAACCCCTCTGTACATCACCTCGACAATTAATTTTTTGAAAATAATATTTAAAAGAATCTGGTCCTTTTGTTACTGGATACTGTTTGAGTCCGCTGCCTGCTGCCTCCAGAGCCAAATCAGAGTAAGATATAGAAAAGCAAGAACAGAATGTATTCAATATGGCCATTCTAGGGAGAAAGAGGAGAAACAGAATCCTAAGACCTGGATTCAGGGTACTGAGAAGAGCCTCAAGTATAATCAAGAAGTCTTAGTCAAATTGAGATCTGGTTGGTAATAGCTCAGGCTCTAGGAGGGGAGTTCTCATCCTGCAGGCTCCAGGAAACTCAGTAACAAGGAGCAATTCAATTCCCTCCAATCCTGCATGAGGTGATTGCTTCCACTTTGGAGCTAGGATGGGCAAGGCTTCTGTTGCCATTTTGGAGGATAGCTCTCTCATGGGTGACAGCCATGACAGTTTCCATCACAGGTTGATCTGCCTATAAGACATACTGTTCCTGTAACCTTGAATCCATTGAGTTACTCTTAACATCTTCAGCCATGGAGAGGCTTTTGCAGATATTGAATTTTGCTGTTGTGTTAATTATTTGTGATTCTATTATGCTTACGATGATGTAGATTTCAAAAATATAACGAGGCTTTCTTTGTGGTCATATACATGGCTGAACGTTTGGACTAATTGTGTGTGTGTGGTTTTTGCTAGGTATTAATTTTGGATATGTACTGTGTAATATTTTAATATTGTGTATGACTTCAAGTGTCTGTGATTATATTTTCCCCTTGATGCTGTGTCATTTTGATCTGATTTTCTTTTTATTACTTTTTACTTTCCAGTTTTAAAAATATAGGTTTCTTTCTGATGTCAAAATTTTAGGCTTGCAGAGGAGAGATGGTTGGTGAATGTGACTTAAATAAAACTAGAAACCATACCACCATGATTTAAAGTTTTATTCTGGCTAAAATACAACTCAAATCAGTAATGAAATTCTCCATTTGCTTCAAGAAATGCCAGCAAATCGAAGTATTGAAGAAAATAATATTCTCATCGCTTATTGACACCATTTTATTTATTACAACCTTCCCTTGACTCTGTCAACCAGCCCTAAAAAGACCATAGCAAATATTCCTCCAACCTTAAAACTACTTAAGTCCAGACCCCAAAGCCTTCGGTTAGTCTACTGCTGATGTGCCTGAGACAGTGGTGTGACTGTTAAAGTGGTATATCCTGTCACTGCTGTAACTTTTACTAAACTTGAATTTTGTTTATTGATAGGTTTTCTGCTGATACTTTGGAAATGCCCCACTTTGATCCTGTCAGTATTTGTCTTATTGCTCAAAGTCAGGACCACGAATTCAATAATTTGGAACTCTTTGACCTCAAGGATGGAATTTATCTTGCATTAAAATTAGCCCTGAATCCTTTTCATCAAGCTACCAAAAGATCAGTGTACCTTATTTTTTAAGATACCATTCAGGGATCTTTTGACTTATTTGATCAGATATGAAACATTACCAACAGCATTGCTTTTTGTCACTGCTCTGTTTACTTTTTCCTTTGGG